ATGACTAAGTGCATTTTGGATATAATGAAGTTGGGGTATTTTTAAGTGTATATGTCCAGCAGGTAGATGGATAGATAAGTGTGTTGTTCTCATACACACTGACTCTGAAGCAGAGACCATTAGCATATATGTACTATATTTAGAACATAAGCACAGAAAAACTCAGGGAAGTATTTTACAATGAGAAGGACTGAGAACTACTAAAGAAGGGGAGACCATCGAGTGCTGTAAAAGCAGTGTGTAATTTTAATCAGATGCACTGGATTTAACCATCAACTCATCCCTGATGCTTCAAGCTGACAACTGGGGTAGGACACAGAACTACTATTCATTAAAGAATGACAAAGAGGATGGAAGAGAAGGTAAATGGCTAAATGGCTTCATATTGTGTAGCCCTTCTACAGCTCATTCAAGAAATCAAAAACAAAGTAGGAACCTAAGGGCCGAGTGCAGAAGTGCTCTGGGCACGTGGCATTGGTGGAGGAGTGCCCATGGTGAAGTCAGCAGAGATTCACTGGGCTTGCAAATACAAATGGTTATAATTCCCCAAAGAATTTTCTAAGACCAGCTCTGTGAAACAAAAGTGTGCTATGGATGTCCAATTAAATGAAACAAAGATTCCCTATAGGCAACCTTAAGGGCATGTAACATTTGCTCTCAATCATAAGAACTGATAGTGAAAATGCATTCTACGTGGAGCATGACATGTCATAACACACCATTCGGCTATTTGAAAAACATCAAATACATAAATCGGTGTCCAAAAAGAACTGTGCAAAACAGGCACTATATGGACAAGACATCTGTGGGTAGCTCTGTGACTCTGGCACTAATTCGTCCACTAATAGGGCAATACATTCATAATGTATTAAAAAATGACACTTAAAATTATTTAGAGGCAGCATTTCAGGGGCTTTAGATCAGATAATTTGATGATGTATGCATCTGTCCTATTTGTCAGCAAAATGACCCCATGTTCTTTAAGAAATAGTTTAATAAGATTTCAGAGTTAGTGTCTTTATCAACTAGTTTTCTGAAGTATTTATTTGCAACAAATCATATACATATTTCCAAATCTGCCTATGTATAGCATGTTAATTTTAAAATTTCATATGGAGGGGCGCCTGGGTGGCTCAGTTGGTTGGGCCTCTGCCTTCGGGTCGTGATCTCGGGGTCCTGGGATCAAGGCCCGCATCGCATCACATGGCATCACATGGCATCGCATGGCATCAGGCTCTTTGCTCAGCAGGGAGCCTGCTTCCCCCTCTCTGCCTGCCTCTCTGCCTACTTGTGATCTCTCTCTCTGTGTCAAATAAATAAAATATTTTAAAAAAATAAAATTTCATATGGAATTTTTGCCCAGTAGTTAGGAATATGGGTTTTAAAATATATATATTTATTTTTTTGAGAGAGCATGCATGCACACGAGTGGGAGGAGGGGCAGAGGGAGAGGAAGAGAAGCAGGCTCCCGGCTGAGCATGGAGCTCTACCTGGGGCTCCATCTGACGACCCTGCAATCATGACCCAAGCCAAAATCAAGAGCTGGACGCTTAACCAACTGTGCCACCCAGTTGCCCCTCAGTAGTTAGGAATATGTATTTTTTTTTAAAGATTTTATTTATTTATTTGACAGAGAGAGATCACAAGTAGGCAGAGAGGCAGGCAGAGGGGGAGGGGGAAGCAGACTCCCTGCGGAGCAGATAGCCTGATGCGGAGCAGAGAGCCCTATGAGGGGCTCGATCCCAGGACCCTGAGATCATGACCCTAGCCGAAGGCAGAGGCTCAACCCACTGAGCCACCCAGGCGCCCCAGGAATATGTATTTGAGAATGAAGAAGCACTGACTCATTTATCCATTTGAAAATTCATTATTATGTCACTAAGAGGGGCTATGGAGATACAAAGTTGAAAATGACATGTTATCTACGTCTTATTTAGGATCTGTTGGGAAAACAGTGCAAGATAAAATTCATAGGGAAAGCTAAAATGTAGCAAATCATTATGGGAGATCAAAATGACATCTAGAGGGGAACCAGAGGAACAATGAAAACGTTTTGCAATGACAAACAAATACTAAATACTGAAAGAACTGGGTGGGCTGGTAGAATTTATTTCCTTTGCAAGTCACACGGTTGTAGACATTTGTTCATTGTGCCTCCACCATCAATTCAGGCCATTCTCAGCCATGGGTTTGGGTGGGGCTGTACATAGGCAGTTCCGGGGACAGGCCCTGTTTGCTTACGGATAACAAGCACTCATAAAGATTGGTTCAGGAATGGACACATGGTACAGAAATGGCTATTAGGACTTTTGGGGGGCAGACAGACTTCTTCTTGTCTAAGGGCTTCATTACAAAACTCTCTTTTCAAGTGGACAAGGGTGAGAAAGAATGAAGCCCTAAAAGCTGTTTGCAACCATCTTTCACCAATGAAAAAAGAGCCTGCTTAAAAAGGGAGTAGGACTGGGCATCTGGGTGGCTCAGTTGGTTGGGCAACTGCCTCCACCTAAGGTCATGATCCCAGAATCTCGGGATTGGGTCTCACATTGGGCTCCCAGCTCCACGGGAAGTCTGCGTCTCCCTCTGACCGTCTCCTCGCTCATGCCCTCTCTCACTGTCTCTCTCTCAAACAAATAAATAAAATCTTAAAAAAAAAAAAAGAAAGAAAAAAGAAAAAGGAAAAAAAAAAAAGGGAGTAGGACTGAAGAGGCATATTGAGAAATGGAAAGACTGAGCCCTGGTAATACAGTTGGGCCCTGAATGAAGTTGTGCATTATGGTTATGTGAGCAAATTCCTTTTAGTCACCAGATAAAGTTGTGTGATCTATTTCTTGCAAACTAGGGAAGCCTAACATAACTATTTAAAAATTAATATAGATGAAACTTAGAGGAATACATTTCTTTGAACTCCCTTTCTCCTCCTCCCCCAAATAACCAACATGTTCAGTATCAACATAAACATCTCAAATGATGGGAAGGATTATAGAATACATCCAATCTCATGTTATATACAGAGATGTGACACAAAATAACTCTTTCTAAAGCAAATCTGGATGTAACTGCCTTGCAAATAAAGTGAGGACTTACTTTACCTTCTAAGGTAGAACACTGTGCCCCCACTTTCGTATAGTTTTGTCTACTGTGAGCACACAGAACCTGATTATGCTAGATTTTGCTACATGCTAGCTTAAGGTAAGGGTCAAGGCCTGAGGAGGCTTTTTAAAACTAGAGACACGATGAAAGAAACTTGATGTGAAATGACACTGACTCTAATACGAAGATCAAATGAAAATTGAAAGAGGCAGATAATCTATTCAGTGTCTATATGATACTCAATTATCAAATGTTTGGAAATTATTTGTAATAATACATTTTATTAAACTCTTAGATTTCTGTCATTATATTTAAAAAATAAATGTCTATAAGAATGCACATACAGTGGGGCACCTCGGTGGCTCAGTCGGTTTACCATCTGCCTTCAGCTCAGGTCACGAGCCCAGGGACCTGGGGATTGAGCCCACACAGGGCTCCCTGCTCCTCAGAGAGCCTACTTCTCCCTCTCCCTCTGCCTGCCATTCCCTGTACTTGTGCTGTCAAACAAATAAATAAATTCTTAAAAAGAATGCACACGCAGGTTAACATGTGAACAGTACAAAACATCTTTCTTAGTCTAAGTGCCCAAAGGCCTTAACTGAGAAATTTTTTTAAAGATTAATTTTTTTATTTGAGAAAGAGATGTAGAGGAAGAGCATGAGTGGGAAGGGAAGGGAGAGAATCTCCAACAGACTGTGTGCTCAGCACAGAGTGGGACAGGGGGCCCCATCTCACAACCCTGGACTCTGACCTGAGCTAAAACCAAGAGTCACCCAAGAATCAGTCACTTAACTGACTGAACCACCCAGGCGCCCCTGAAAAGGAGGATTTTTAAACCTGGGAAGGGAGGCGATATGAAAAGCTTCTGGTTAATTCACTCATCTATCTTACCAAGTAATTTGAAAACCATTTCTAGATCTTTATTAAAAAGTATTGTTTTTAAGTTTTGAAATAATCATAGATTCACAAGAAGTTGCAAAAATAGATACAGAGAGGTTCCCTTTATCCAGTTTTCCCCAATGGTTACATCCTACATACTTACAATACCAAAAGCAGGAATTTGACCTAGGAACAAGGTATATATAGTCTTACATCTTATCATATGCATAGACTTGTCTTACCATCATGATCATAATAAAGAACTATTTGGGGGCCCCTGGGTGGCTCAGTCGGTTAAGCAGCTGCCTTCCGCTCAGGTCATGATCCCAGAGTCCTGGGATCCAGCCCCACCTTGGGCTCCCTGCTCAGTGGAGGGCCTGCTTCTCCCTTTCCCTCTGCCTGCCCTTCTGCTTGCTTGTGATCTCTGTCAGATAAATAAAATCTTAAAAAAAAAATACATAACTATTTTAACACAAAGATTTCCCTTACTCTGCTGTGTACATTCACACCCACCTCCTCATTCACCAATACAAAAGTTTTCTAACTCTGTTGTAAGATGAGTATTTAATTTCCATTTGAACCTGGTCTAGTCTCTTTCATTTCTGTAAAATGCTGTCCCCACCCTTTGAATTAATGTCATGATTAACAGGCCCTCATCTTCAATTTAAGAAACAGTGCAATCGATCTGATCTTCCAGACTTAATTCCCTTATTTCAGCATTTGGTTTGGGAAAAAAAAAACACACAAATACACCTGATTTGTGGTGGATTCGCTTCTCAGGTTTGGTCCCATGTTTTCACAGTTTTTCCTAAGGTCCCTCGTTAGTTTTCTTGGTTTTAAACTCTTTTCTCACACCTCGAGAAATCTCGAGATCCTGATAACTAATTTATTATTCCAACAGAAAGGAAACAGATTTCCAAAACAGGATCCTAATTTATTAATTCGCTATGAGACTGATTATGGCCCAGTAGGGTCGGTTCAGTCACCACCTAAGAAAATTCCAAATAAAATTGCAGGGTTGCATGGTAAATGCAGAAAGAGAGGAAGGAAGGAAGGGAGGAAGGAAAGAAAGAAAAAAGGATGGTAATGGCCCTGTGGTGGCTTAGTCAAACTTCGGAGCAACAGAGTAAGTCCCCTCTTGCCCTCAGGGATCAATCCCGGACCTCAGTCCTTCAAAACTGAAGAACACTTAACAAAACGACTACTCTTCGAAACCCAGGCTGGGGATTATGCGAAATGATCCCAAGCCACGCAAGATATGAGAAAATAAAATGTCCACGTTCCACCACCAAGGAGAAATGGAATACTTAGAATGTAGGCCCAAAGAAATGGCCCGCTCTTCCGTGTCCCCGCATCTTGCTAGAGCTTCATCGACCGCCTAAAAAGTCCCTTTTATTTCCGCAGCAGAGCCGGCGGCGTTTGCGGAAGGCCCGGCCCTCGCAGTCCGGTCGCGGTCCGAGCTCCCAGGCCTCCGGCCGGCCTCCCAGCTCGCAGCCTGGGACCCACGCGCCGGCCCCCAGGCCCGCGTGGCCGCCCCGCCGGGCCCCTGTGTCGGGCGCTCCGCCTCTCCCGGCCGGCGGCGGCCATGGCGGCCAGGCAGATCCCAGCGTCCGCGCTCGCCGCTCTCGGAAGGCTACCTCAAGCTTTCCGGCCACCAAGACTTCTACGGCTCGTAGGAGGGTTCCGGCAGCACCTCAGCTTAACCCTCTCCTCCGCTGCTGAGGAAGACCGCAGAGGATCTGGGCCCCGCTTGCAAGGCGGGCTAAAGGGAGACGGCAGGCGTCCGGAGAGCAAAGAGTTAACAGCGGCCGAACGGCGGATCGCGGACCTGCACGCGGCAGCCTGCGCGGTGAGGCCCCTCCTGCCCGTCCGGCCCCGCCTTGCCCCGCCCCGCCCCGCCCCGCCCCACCCCATCCAACCCAACCCAACCCGGGCCCAGCCCCGGGATCCGTGCGCCTGCGCGCCCTAGGCTGACGGAGAGGTCGCTGGAAGTCCGCGCGGTCCTTGCTCTGGCTTCTGACAAGCACGCTTGCTTACCGCTCCGACCCTTTCGCTTGAAAACTAGCCAGTTCCCTGTTATGCGCAAAGAGTTAACGTACATTTGTATTAAGTGTGGGTCCTTTCTCATCAGCGTCCGAGCTAAACTGGTGGCAGTTTGGGACCCATCATGACTGTGGGGGGGGGGGGGGTTGTTAAGGCATTGATGGAGGAGGTAGAGAGGAGCTGAGAAGTCACAGGAAAAATAGGCTGTGTGTTTATCTGTGTTACCAGTTAAACACTTTGCCATCCAACCATATTAATAATGCAAAACTTTAAAAAAATAATTTTTGCTACTATCATTTCCTCTTTTCTCTCCGCCCTAACGGAGCACAATTGTAAAGGAGACTGTAATCAGGCGTTTACATTCTTCCCAATTTTGAGCTATGTCTTCTTCTGTTTGCAGGATTTAGGGAATCACTCATGAGTACCAATATAACAACTTACCATCTTCGTTCAGTTTCTGACACCTCAGACTACATAAGTTTAAAGGGAGCATATTTATATTTTTAATATCTTGAGAGAGCAAAGGAGTTCTAGCGTGAAAAATGCAAAAACAACGTAAAAGTAACCTATTTAATATAATCTGTGTTACTAGTACTTGATGTCCGGTGGAGAGTTACTTACCTGGTGTTGCTTGAGCAATGGGAGTAGAAAAGAAAACCTTGATGATTTTCTAAAATCGACTTTTTTCCCCACTGCTAGTTAGTAGGCCCTGGGAATTCACTGGCTCGTTCAAGTGTTGACACTTCTGCATAAAAATTCATCAGGAAATAACTGACAGCTTTTGACTGATCTTGTTTATACTCCATTAAAAAAATAAAAATGAAAATAACATGTATAATTTGTTGCCACACATCACCATATAAATATGGTAGATATAAGCAGAGGTTTCATTCTTTTTAGAGCAAAGAGCAGTCACGTGTCAATACAGGTCAGTCAGCCTGGGAAAGGAGAAGGACTTTTTCTGACTTAGGAAACCCACACTTGTTTCATCAATGAGTGTCAGTATCACAGGTGAAATGGTTGTCCAGGTGACCAAGAGTAAATCCAAGAACAAGTTTGTTGTTTTTCTTTTTCAACAAATCAGAAGTCCCCTCTCAGTTGTCCTTCTCCCACACTTCCGAGCAGATGGGTCTCTTACCTTTCTTTCCGGGGTTATCTGCACGACTGATCATCTCGTTTTCCAGCCACTGTTCGCACTCCTGTCACACCTTTGTCTCTTGCCACTACACCTGAGGCTCCTTTACTGTGGACAAAGTAAGTTTGTGTGAGCAGCCAATAAGCTCAAAGTTTTGCAATCAACATGGAAAGCAGGAGAACAGGCACAAATGCAGAAGCAATCTGTTTGTTAGGCTTCCAAGTTGCTCCATAATTGCCTTCAGAAGACCTCCAGAAACTATGAAAAGTGAGAAGAAGACAGCTAACAGAGCTCCCAGTGTTTGTTTGTTTTTGTTTTTCTTCCAAGTCTTCAAACACGGGTTTCTTAAATAAAGAAGTGAGGTCTTGACAATTGGTCATTCTAAAGGTCTTGACAATTGGTCATTAAAGTTTAGTGTTCTTGGTTTCATGTAATTTGCTTCTGTGGTCCCAAAAGATTTGAGAGGCCCTATAGACTGGCCTTGAGACTTGCTTGCTGGATTTCTGCTGCCAGGGTCTGGCTCAGCTAGAATACCTTAGAGTAGACCTAGACTTGAACTCTATGTGTCTTTTTGCTTTATGCCTTATTCATGGTTAAATTCTCAATCAGATTATTATTGGTTAAATTCTCGACCAGATTAAAATATTTAGCTATGAAGGAAGACACTCTGAAGAAGTAACTTGTGGCACATACTAAAATATGCTAGAAGACATTCACATGTCACACATATTTTAATGAAAAGGTTCTATTCTATACAGGAATGATGCAGAGTAAAAGGGTTATATAAGAAGCCCAAGAGAAAGTTCCTCTACAGAATCTTGAGGATAAATAATCATCACCCACATGGCCCAAATCCATAGAATAGGCTGCATTACTTTCTTTGCCTTCATACAGTGTACTTGGGACACTTTTTAAAAACCATGTTCAAATGTTGGTAGAGTATGCTTCCTTGATATCTGAAGTGGTGTAGTAAAAGTTCCTTTTGATCAAACTCGTGAAAGCAGTGAGTGTTAATATGTTAAAACAATACATTTTCACTTAAAAACAGAACTAACAACCCTCCTCCAAAAAGAAAATAGTGTAAAATGTGCAATGGAGTAACACATCATGAAGGTAAAGAAAAGTGTTCAATAATAGCAAGGTCATACTTTTCTGTAAGGACTGTTGGTTTTGATTAGCACCTTTTCTGTAAGTTTAAATCATTATCCACATATTTTAAGTACTGAAATTGCAACTGCAACTTCTGAGTGAAAGTTCATTTTCAGCCTCTTAAGCTCTTAAAGTCATCTAAATCACCTGTTATTAAACTTGTTACCTAGAAACTGAATGAAAAATACCTGAGCAGTGGCTACATCGTTATTGGGTATAGAGGAGTTCTTGTTTTTCCATCAACTTCTCATTTTTCTCAAACTGTATATTTTCTCCTTATGTCACAAATGTTGGATTGCATATAATGTTGGAATGCATTCAGTCTTTAATTGCAGGTGCCACCAAAATTGCTGGGAAGGAGTTTAATATTGTTTAAAGAAAATTTTGCAGTATTTTATGAGTAGGAAGTATGGTGAGGAGCTATGGTGAGTATTGAGATTAATGAATTGTTTTATTTCATTATTCTTCAGACTGGCCAGTTAAACTATGTGGATCCAGCTACTGGCTATACCGTGCTCACACAGCTCGCCCACTTGCAGAGAGGTAAATGCTGTGGCTCTGCCTGCAGACACGTGAGTAGCAAATTCTCGCATTACAGCAGCAGCTTTCGGTGCTTCTGTAACTTCGTAAATACCTATTATTTGAAAAACAAGTCAAATAAAAAAGCTAAATAGACCTGGAGTGCACTTTTCACAAGCTACTTTAGCCAAGGACAATGAAGTCCTTAGGACCAACATAGGACCTTTAAAGTTAATGGAATTTTGTAACATTTCTTTGTGAACATCAGTTCCTTGAAATGTTGTGATTTGAAATTCATGCGAGTTCTTTATTACAAGGAAACTTTTCATGAGGTTTCAAATAAGTCATGTTCACTAGGCAAGTACAAAGAAGGCAGGAAAAGAAATCCAGAATATTACAAACTAGATTTCAGACAGTGTTTTGCCTTCATTATTAGCTGAATAAATAGCAATGTGACCAGCATTGTGAAGTGGGTTTCCTTTAAATGATAATGATTCCTCTCTCCCTTCCTCTCTCTCTCGCATTTTCTTCCGTGGCTGTTTTGTACTCTATCTTAAAAATAACCATGAAGCTATCTACCTCAAACTTAGTGCTGTACATTTCCTAAAATGTGTATTTCAGTGAATGTATCTCTATGTTCACTGACTAAGATGAACTAGCTAATCCTTCCCTATGCTGAGCAAGAAAAATAAATGAGATTGGGTTTATCACTGTACCTTTTTAAAAGCATACTAGTAAGATAAATTGTTACAGTGTTAAGATTATAAACAGGTAACAACCTCTATTTACAGACCACTTGGACTTTATGTTTGGGAGCAAGAAGGCATTATTTCCTTTAACTAATGCACTTATAGTTAAGGACTAAACACTAAATGCATATATTGGCTGGAGCCAGTATTGAAAAATTAAGCCTTCATTTTTATGTATGTTCCTACCTGTGCCATTAGCTGTTTCTAATCAAAAGCATTAAGAGCTTTGCATAAATTGAGGACTTGAGAATTTTCTAAGAGTGAGTTTTTGACAGTAGAATTCTTTAAGTTGGAAGGATGCATTTAGGAAGTGATTCTTGGACCCTAATTAGGACCATTTGCCGGAGGTTGCCATTATTCTCCTCTTAGTCTGCAGGACCCAGTAGATCAAATGATCTGTATAACATGATTAGCAGTCTCATTTTCCACCATGAGGAGTGTTGTACTTTTTTAAGATCCCTGTGAAATAATTCAATAATGATTTGTTTTATTTCTTCTGCAGTGTCCATATGGTCAAGTCAATGTTAAAGATCCATCTAAAAGGAAGAAATTCAATTCATATTTTTATGTTTGACAACAATTTCATCTCTGTTCTCCATCTAATAGAGCCTGTATTAAAAAAAAAAAAAAAAACCCTAATCCAGAATTGCTGTCTGTGCTGTTAGTCCTTGAACACTAGTTTAATTATAAGTACATATATTAAAAGAACATCAATAAAATGAAAAAGCTAGCAAATGTTTGTGTGTTTCTGAAGTGGCACATTGATAGTTATTTTCCTTTCTTTTTGCTTCATTATCAGACACATATGTTGAAGAAAGAAAATAATGACTGTTCCATTAAATAAATAGTAGCAATCGGGTCACATTAGTTGCTCTCGATTTTTCTTATAGCCTCCGTTCTCCTACTGTTTTCTCCTCTGTGTTAGCAACCCAAGGGAGGTTGCTGGCAAATAGAAGAGTTTGAATACATTCTTCATTTTATTTATATCTTGAACTATAAGAAGATTGATATAATGCTATATTGTGCAGCATATGACTGCCCAAGAAGCGCCATTCTGCATCAAGAAATGCTCTCATCTTCCATCTGTTCTCTCAATAAAAACTCTAAATCATTCTGACTTGGAGGTCAGGCCGCTTAAAATGCCTCTGATTAGACCATTCTCACTTCTCTCCCCCACAGCTTCCTTCTCCATGTCTTATGACACTTCGCAGGCAAATCTATCTTAGGACATTTTATCATCTTTATACCCATTCCATTCATTGCAGTGATACCTCTGGGCTTCAGTATCCAACCTGGGTTAGGGGCTCACAGGGACTATTGTTCCTACACTTTCTCCCTTGCTTCCTTCTGAGGATAAGGGCCCCAGAAAGCCTTTTCCTTGCCAGTGGAGGCTGTTCAGTAAAATGAGGCTGCTGCCCATTGTCGCTCTGCCCAGAGCTAACCTTCAGCCTTTTCTCCCAACAGAATCTGAAAGGTTCTCAAACATCTCAGGGGTCTTCCTTACTCTCTGCCCGTGGCCTCAATAAGTTTTAGAGATCTGAGGCAACCAAAAGATTTTAGTGCCTTCTCACATACTCAATTTAAAGTAAAAGCTATTCTAAACTGTGAAATAAGTGAAAAGCCCAGTAAGGCTCTGATTTTCCCCTTGATTGTGATTCATGTTGTTATTTGTATGTCAAATATTAAATTGTTTCCCCCAGTTTTTGCCATTTTAGTGCCCCAATTTTGCTAGTCCTACCACTGTGGTGCCCTAAGCAACCCCGTTGGTGGACCCTGTGAGGTGTGGGCAGCTGCCTTGGATATTAAAAACAAAACAAAACAAAACAGAACAAAAACCTGTCTTCGTGGCTTGGTGTTGTCCTCTCTAGAAATCGTTTTGAGGAGGTGAATAGGAGAAGGGGGTCAACATTATGATTGTGGAGGCAGTTAGACTTTCCAGACAGGTTTATGGACTCCTGGGAGCCAATTTCCTCTCTATCCTCAGGTCAAGAAGCAGCCAGATAGTTCAATGTTTTCCACTAGATTTGAAGATTACTAAGGCCATTTTCTGGGTGAGGGCTGGATGGTACTTTCTTCAGCGGTCCCAAGAGGGAGAAGAGAAAGAAACGGAGCCTGTAAAGGTCATCTGTCTGGAGAAAAAAGAGAGAGGAAAGAAAGTTCATTCTGAAAAGGGGCCCCGATTTAAGGCAGAGTTTTGAGAAAGCCCCTTGACAGAAGGAAATAACTTATGGGATTCCTCCTTCCTAGAGGCAGCTTTTTCCTCCTCCTAGTGCACTTCCTGAGGTAGGGAACTGGCCCAAGAGAAAGGACTCCATGTCCCATCCCAGATGATACTCCTGTGGGACTCTTCCTAGCAGAACTTGAAGCCTTGTGGGCAGCAGCATAGGAGCCGCTGTTGGGGGGTGGGGGGTGCTCTTACTCTCTTCCACCTCTGGAGCCCGGGAGCCAAGGCCTGAAGTTCTCCACTGTGGTTCTGTGGAGATGCTTGTGAACCACACATCAGGGGTGGCGGTGGGTCGGTGCTCCCACATGAAACACAATATGGCCACATAAACGGGCCTCACTGCAAGAGCTTCAAGCTATATTGTATTCACACATTGTAAAGTAAAAATTCAGGTTTCTTATTGGGTGTGTGTATACAAACACATGTGGATGCTGAGAAATAGAAACTTCCCAGCTTAAATCAACTCTGGTGCTGCTCCACTTTCATGGTTTCTGGAGACTCCTGTTGCAAGTCACCATAAATCAAGGGGCACTGATTTCTAGATTGTTTCCAACACAGAAAGACCCAGTGGAAACTGGGGAAGCTTCTTATGGGGTTTCCCCCGGTGGAGGATGGGCATCGATTCCTGAAGCACTGGTGCTTCTCTTCTCTGGGGAAAGGGCCCTGTCCTGGCAGTCCTCGCTGCAGGTGGATTGCAATGCACACTTCCCTCTCTTCAGAAGACACGCTGGCCCGGTTGATTTTGCAGCGCAAGGAAGAGAAGGACTCTCCTGCTTGAAACTTGGAACTCCCAGCCCTGGTGTATTTGGAAAAGAAGGACCCAAGAGAAGGGGGGATGCTACTGGGCCCTGCTCAAACCTTTGTTCCACCGCAGTGCCCCTTATCCAAGGCATTTGCAAAGTCCATTTCGCACACCCGTTTCCACTGCCAGAAATCAGTCCAGCTTCAATGAACCTCCAGACAAAGCTAGGGAAGCGGGCTCACTACCAGGCAAAAGACAATCAGCGCTCTGCTTTCCTGCGAGCACTTTGAGACCTCACAGTTGGTGGCTAGCCCAGAAGGAACCTCCCCCTCCACTCCAGACCAACACCTGCCATTTCATCTTCTCTACATTGGACCAGAGGCTTGAGTTCCTGGATGTCTGCTCATGTTGGAAGATTTAAAAGTCGGTGCTATTTTTCACCATCTTGCAACAATTAAAAGGTACTTCCGGGTGCCAAAACTATCCTCTCTCCTCAAAAACAAAGAAAAAAAAAGAAGTAATATGTTCAAGTGTGTGTGCGTGTGTGTAAGGGGGAGGGGATTGTCAAGACCCTCTTGAACGCCTCTGTGAGAACTTGATTTCTGACAAAAGGTTGGAGAGGAACCTACAGATATCTTTACCTAAACGTTGAGTCATTACTGGGACTCCCCGCCTACCAGGGGTCTCTGGATGCCCTGTTGCGTGTCTGACAGAGCACCCTGGGCGCTGAGAGCTGAGTGACCCTGGTCTCTACAAATAGTTTCAAGGTTGGGCTCATGACACAAAATCTCCAGAACTCATGGCCCCCTGTGTTTTGAGACTGCGTGTAAAAAAGAGTGTAAACCGGGGGAATCATGGGCTGTAGAGGCGCGACCATATCTTCCCATTCGAAATTTGTGCCAAAGTGTGAGTTCCTCCGTGCGCTTCAATGTGCGCGCACCTCGCGCGCGCGCGTGTGGAAGGAATGCCTTTGTTTGTTTGTTTGTTTTATTTTGTTCAAATATCTAAAACGGTTCGTGACCCCAAAGAGGATAAAAACTTCTGCTTTGGACAAGAGTGAATGAAAGCACCTAAGCGCTTCCGTCGGTATTGCCGTCCATCTGTGCGATGGCCTCGCTGGCGAGCATAGAAGCTAAACCTGAGAGGCTTGTCCCCTCCCTGGCTGCGAAAACGGACCCACACATAGGGGTTCTCCAGGAGAGAAAGAGCTAAGGAGGCCAGAACGGGAAGGGGAGGGCCGTGAGGGGATAGGTGGTAAACTAGTGGAACTAGTCGGCTGGTGGGACTGGCTGGTGAAGCCAAGTGTCCGGGTGGAACGAGGGTCTCTGTCCTGGGTGCTCAGAGCCACATTCGGGATTTGGGATGGAAAGAGAAAGACTGAGGGCTTGGATTCGTGGTTCCGGCTGGTTCCCTTGCCACCCCTAAACTGGGTGGCGGAGCTTGCGGGGCTGGTTAAGAGGTGCACTGCCCCGCGCCCCGCTCGGCGCAGCCCCAGGCGCCCCCCCATCCCACGCTGGTTCCTCAGGAGGCTGGTAGGAGCGCGGGCGCCCCAGCCCTCGGCGCCCTCAGCCCACGCACCGCAGAGGAACAGCTCAGGTGGCACAGCGGGGAGGGGCGGAGAGGGAGGGCCGCCGCCGCACCCGGACTCGCATCCCGGAGCCGCCAATCTGGCGGCTCACACTCCCTTCCCGCATCCGCGCAGGAGCCTCCCAGCAATCCCCCGCCCCCCATCTCCGACTGCGAGGAGAGCTCTGGATGCGGGAGTGAGTAAATAATTGGCCAGAGGCCCGGCTTCCCGGTTCTCGCTCTGCTTCCTTGCGGCCTGACTGCGCCGGGGGCTGCTGGGGCGACGCAGCCCCTCGGGAACCTGAGACCAGGTAACCTGGCCCCCGCCCCGTCCCGGGTCTGGGTGTCTGTCTGTGTTCCCGAGAATGCTCATCTCCCAAGGTCTGAGTCGGTTTTTTCCCGGTTAATCGCCATCCCCACCTCCTAGCAGGAGCCGGTGGGAGAGACACCTCCAGCCCCCGCGCTGACCCGTCTGGGAACGCCGCGGTGGCGCGCGGAGTGCATCCCGAAGTGCTGGGTTCCTGGCGCCTCGCCCGGGAGCGCCGAGAGTGAAGGATCGGGAGGGGAAGGCGGGGATGTGGCGGGGGAGCAATCAATGGCTTAGCCCAGCTTCCCGCAGGAGCTACCGCCCATTCACGGTCTACGCAGGCACCAGCTGGCGGCAGCATCTTTTAGGTACAAGCTCCAGGAAGGCAAAGGCCGGCTGGGGGGCCGGGAGCCCAGGGCGCGCCGCGGGACCCCAGCACCCCCGCTGCGCCCAAGCCTCAAGATGTTCTGGGATTTATGAGGTTCAGTTACGGCCGAGTCCTCCATTAACACCTCCCCTGATTATTGAGAGGCTGGAAGGGCTGAACGCAGTCTCAGAGCGCGTCTCCGCGCACCAGCCCACGTCTGTGCCCTCTGCCCACCCCTTCCTCCTCCTCCCGATTTGGAAGCATAAACTGAAAATAAAAGACAGGTGGAAGGAGCTGCGGGTCAGAGGTGAGGGATTCGGGTCAATTCTGAGAGAGAGAGAGAGAGAGAGAGAGAGAGATTGATTTCCATCCAACGGTTTATTTATTTGGATTAACAGAGGAACCCTCGGCAGCACCTGGAGACCAG